GTCTTTCTAAATTTTAACGCGTCTTAGGGCCGTAGTGCGGTAGTGACACTTTTCCGGACATGGGTCCCTATACTCAAATGTTTTCTACTGTTGCACTGAATAACCCCTAGAAGTTTGATCCCATAGTTCTGAAACACCCTGTATATATATATATATGATATATGTGTATAAGAATAACATATGTGTTGTATATATATGCAAACGTGCCCCGGATGGTGCATACATATTGCGCGTGCATCGGCAGCGACTGCACGTGCAACGCATTTGTTCTACGCTATCGGATGTTCTCACCACCATACCAGATAAAACGAGGAACGGACGTGAATATAACGCCGCGGGATGAATTACAAAGTCATTCACACGGAAGCGGACGTTCGTCGATTGCGAACCGTGCTTGCATCTGGCAGAGTCTGCCCGAAGGGCGGCTCTCTTCTCTTCAGCCGCCGTAGCTAAATTGACTCTGATGCGCAAACGTGATGCTTGCGTAAGAGGTGAAATAAAAATCTCGTCACACAATGCGTAACAACCGCCGCGCTTTTCATCCCGAAACCAAATAAGCCCTTCAAACGACCGTGATAGTGACAAGCGGATTTTCGTTTCAAAGCGACAAAAGAAATTGAAAATGTTATTTGTGCCGCGAAAGAACGCGCGCAAAAAACCTCACACAATACTTAAATTGCAAATTGTTTCGATAGTTTGCGCTCACTTGTGTGTGTGTGTGTGTGTGTGTATGTATATTAATTAATTAACAGAGTTTAATTTTTTTTTTTTTTATTTATTTAATTTCGGATTTTTTTCAAAGAAAAAAAACCTGACGTGTTTATTCGCGAAAACAAAAGCGATATATATAATTGTCACGTGCGCTATGATAAAGAGCAAAAGTGAAGCGTCGATTTGTCGATTTATTTCTAACGCGTGGTTCGCCACGTTATGTATGTAAAGAAGGCGGGACCGTGGAGTTTCAGAAACGTAACATAATATATTGTAATGTTTATTAAAGATTATAATATTTACATACGCATATATAGCATTATGATATTATATCAAATTAGCACTTTAATTTTGCGTCTCTCTCGCCGAAGTAATCTCTTTTGTTACTTCATTAACGCTTTTTCCATCTTTCATCCTCTCGTTTGTGCGCTTTTTCTTTTTTAATCCTCCTTCTTCCACTTTGCTCTGATCCAGTATTAAACTTTCCCCGGCGTTCGTCTTCTTCTTTTCCATCTGACCCCTCAGCTTACAGCCACTGATCCGGCATTAAAGCTCTCTTTTCTTTTTCTACTTTTCTTCTTCAAGCGGGTCTCATTCCCAATCCTTGTACTATGTGACGACGCTTGTAATCATTTCGTTTGTTGAGGGACGTCAATGAATACGCAATTACCTACAGTTTCGTCGTTCGCGATATCCCAAAAGATATTTATATACACATAAATAAGATATCGAGGGATATATGTATGTATATATATATATATATGCAAATATTTTTACCTCTCCTTCTCCGTTTCATGAGACAGAAGAAATTACATTTTTCAAGATAAATAACGGCAAGAAATATCTCCGAGTAAACTGTGCTCGCTCTTTTATGCAAAGCAAATTAAAAGCAACGAGTTACCGAGGTGCTCTCTTTATGAAATACATAACTTTAAAATACAGATCATATTTATATCCCGTTCGTTTTGTACATGGATACATAGATTGTGTATTTTCCTGCAGAAAAGAGATATTTTCTGTAAAATCGTTCAGAAATATCTGACAGATATCGCTTTTACGCTTGACATTTTCAAATGTTATTTATTTTATAGTCGTTTTATTTATATTCTATTATTGAGAATCTAAAAAATAAAAATAATTTTATATTTATTCTTTATTTAGAATTCTCTTTTTTTCTCTCTTCTCTCTCTCTCTCTCTCTCTCTCTCTCACTCTTTCTCTCGTAATGGTCGTAAGCGTATGCAAAGGGACCAACTAAAGTGCCATTCCGAAGCAAATACCCGCCGGATTCGCTTGTTACCGGAGTTCAACACTGTAAAGATTTTATATTTCCATTTCAGCTGCTAAGTTCGATCGTCGTGGTTGGCGGGACAAACGTAGCCGGCGCATTGACGCATCACCCACGGGAATTGGCGCAAAGACAAGCGTTCCTCGAAACTCGGCAATGCGTCGAGGCACGTCTGACCACACAACGGGAGAATCAGCAACAGGTACGTCGCTGCGTTCGCGACATTTGCGCACAGGTGTGTAACTTACATCGACGATCTCTCTCAGTGTCGAGACAATCACTCAAAAAGCGAGTTTCTAAATATAATGCTAAAATTAAAAACTTAACAACAACACTACAAACCGCGTTTTAATTAAAGAAAGTAACTTCCGATTTATTTACAGAAGAGTGACTCGAAACCAGTTTACCGAATCAATTTCGATAAAATACAGAGAGGAAAAAATTTAATTTAAACTTTAATGAATGAAAGATACGGGAACAAAAAGACAACAAAAGAAAGATTAAGAAAATTGAAGATTAACTTAGAAGACGATGTTCGCATTTATTGATTTAAAGAAGAAAATAATTTTATTAACCGTAATATAGAAGTGAAAGAGAAAGAGAGAAAGGGAGAGAGAGAGAGAGAAAGAGGAAGATGTTGTCATGTTTGGAGAATGCTGTCAATTCGTGCGAGAAATCTAGTTTAAAACAAGCGTCAATAATCATTTAATCGACGTCGATAAAGCCGCGTCACGCGGAAATAGCGATCATTATATCATTTCCCGTGGCGCATTATCCGGAATCTCGAGTAATTGACGTCTTTGTTAATTATTAATGATCCCATCAGTGTTCATGTAAACCGCAGCGCGGTGGCATGTTAGTACACCGAGGATACCCAAGGCTTGTACGGGCGTTCTATATTTCACGTAACCGCGAAACCGCCGATAAAGTGAGATCGACGATAAAGTGTACGTACACGTTCTTACAAAAATTCATACTTTACAGAAATCGATGTGCGGGCGATGTTTAAGGATAAAGAAAAATATGCGCAAAAAAGTTTATTTTTGCGCGAGAATATTTTACCGAAAATTTTTGTGTTTTAAATTTCGCACAGCTTCAATTTTTTTTTTTTATTTTTAATGTGCTGCTTCTTAATAAAGCTCGCGTTGCAATATTTTTCGGGAATCGTGGATTATGAATAAGAAGCGTTTTCAATAGACGTAAAAGAAAAAACAAAAAAAAATGAACCACGAAGAATCGATTTCTTTGAACCGTAATAGCTTTCTTCTATAAAGCTTGCGATATGACATAATATATGGCGCGATTCTCATATTGGACGGTATTATTAAACGAAAAAAGAGAGAGAGAGAGAGAAAGAAACGGTTATGTGGAAAAAATGTCGTATATCAAAAATCACACGACAGCGAAGATTTCGGCTTCGGGACATTTTAGTGAATTTTTTTCTTTTTTAGTGGATTATTTTGCGCGAAGAAAAATCCACTAAGGCAGCGCGTTTCTAAAAATACGTTAGACGTCGGCAATATGTATGTATATGTATCAGCGACACGATATATCCGTCGCCGAATTCAATCAACTACGGGATTCGCGAATAAAAAAAAAAAAAAAAAACGCGCCGCCGCGCGGCTAAATCCGACTGTATTATCTCGTTGTCGTATACCTGTATGCGATTAGAAATCTCGTCTCCCCGCACAAAGAAGAGACGCGGAGAAAGACGATAACGAGCAATTCGGTTCTCGGCTTTCGCTTCGAGACTTCGAAAGGATTCGCGAAATGGAACGGTCTCAGAAACCGCGACTCTTGTCAGCGCTGAGAATTCTCGGCGACTCTGCGTGAAATGAAGTTTATCGCATGGAAAATTTCATATCAGACAAGACAGATTATTTGTTGCTCTCTTTATATAAGAGCTTTCTTTTCACAATTGTCCGTTTTTCTCGTTTCTCTTTCTCGTTTTGCGAGAGATGACCGGGAACATTTATTAAAGAAATAAATATCGAACATATGTAACAATTCTCACAATTAAGCGTTAAGTATTGATTAAGTTTTAAATGTTCTTTTAAAATATATTTGATTAAAATATAATAATAAATTAAAATATAGTAATTATCAGAGACTTTAACTTTAACGTAACTTTGTTATAATTATAAAAAATAACATAGATACTTTGTAGTAAATTATTTCTTTAATAAATATGTGCGGCTAGAGGCGATACTTGTTCGATCATTGGAACATTTATTTGAATAGCGCAAATAAATTCCTCGTTTGCAGAAAAACTAGATGTGCATTCCGTGCGTTTGAGGCGAAGTTTAATGAGCACTGGCGTAACGAAATTGTATAACTATTCTCTCTCTGTCTCTCTTTTTTGAGAGGATTTTATTTAATTTCCTCTTTGACACAAAAAATGCGCGCAAACAGTTTTTATTTAAAAAAAAAAAAAAAAAAAAAAAAAAAAAAAAACACCTAATATCATACGAAGCATGTAAAACGACATTGCGGAGAATATTATTTTATTATTTCACAACAAATCTCACGTCTTCTTGAATAAATTCGAGTTTCGCGCAGTTGACTGCTTTATATGTGCTAATAAAACAACACCCGAAGTGTCGCAAAAACCAACCGGTCGTTAGGCGCACATTGAAACAATACGCGGCACGCGCATTCAAAAGCTCGCGAATCGCGCCGATGGCGGAAGTGAACAAAAGGCCTCGGTGAATTTACTTTCTGCGAAACACGTGTTGTCCAACAGCCGAAAAATAATGAACGAACTGTTTGACGAAGCGCGTGAACTTTTAAAATAAAATTGAGCGCTCGATTGTACATCAACTGTTTGTTTAGCGCGCGGACATGTATATTTTTGGACGAATTTTTTTTGTCAAAGCTCCGCTTCTCCTCCGAGCTAAAGATGAAAGAAAAGGAAAAGCGAGTTCTGAAGTAGAAACGATTATGCGTTTGTTATCTTATTTTGTTTTTAAACAAATGATCACATTTAACGTTTCTCTAAAAAGAAAAAACTGTGCAACGGTAAACTAATTTAACGGAAAAGCTCCAACACACTGTCATAATCTATTGATTCATTTACTTGATGTTTTTATATTCATATTTGTTTTCATCTCCGCGTTTATTTATTTTAATCATTAATTTTGCATTTGCGTTTATATAAGAGCCGAGGTGTCGATAAGAGCCGAGGTGTCGCAAAACATTCTCACGCGACACTCATACGTGTATTATTATTATTATTATTCGATACTTGAACTATACTCGTCAGTTGCGCGTCGGCAAAAGACGATAGCGATCAGAGAATTTCCTGATTGCGGTTGTGTACTTTCGACGTGACGCGAAATAAACGATGAACCGGATAATAATGGCGGTGAAAATCTATTGAGAATCTATTAAAGATAGTGTCTTATCGCGCGCGTCACTCGTACACAACACAAAACCAACCCGTTTATTATTATAGCGTCACGAGATAGAGAGAGAGAGAGCCGAAGCTTCGTTGATCGAGAAATTCGTGACCGTCGCCGCGATATATAACCCTGTCGGCCTATTGTTCGCGCCTTTACTCGCCCGATCAACCCGAAATATAATTGGAAGTCGAGTGTATATGCGCGACGTGTATGTATATCGTTGCCGCACGGGACGTGTTGTACGTGCGTACGCATTTAACAGCGACGCGAACATGCACCGACGCCGATGCTCTATCTCTTCATCTCCGATGAAGCCAAGGATGGTCACCCCACGGCCACTCTCGGGAACGACCCGATAACGTGGACCGTGCTATATTCCCTGCTATGCGGATGCGGCGAGAGTAATGTGTCGCAACATTGCTATTGGATAAACAAGCGCCTTCGCTCGCAGTTGTTGTAATTTTTCGCATAACTCGACGCGCGTTACATTTCCACATTTGTTTTTCCACCGGCACCTAGACACGCAAATGTCATTTTATTTTATTTACTTGGTTTTTATTTTATTTACTTGGTAACTGTATGACGTTAACAGTGTGTGTGTGTGTGTGTGTGTGTGTATAATTTAGAAAGCTTCGGGAAAATTTTCGAGAGTGATTATTCAACTCTCGCTGATTTTAAAAAAATTCTGCCGCTGAGATTTGCGATTTTTGCGCGGACGCGACTATCGATTTTTCACTCTCGCGTTTCTCGTTGGAGAAACCGCGTGCGCTTTGAGTTCTATTCTTGCCCCAGCGTCAGCCCGATGTTATCTCTTCGATGTTTCTAAGTTTTGCGTGTATTTGTTGTTCTCATTTCTTTCCGTTTGTTGTTGTGTTTTTGCTTTTGAACCATGTATTGGCATAGTTGTGTGGGATTTCTTTGCGTTTGCGTTTAAATAAATAAAAAAGAAAAAGGTCAGAGCAACCTTTTTCGATAGGAGCAATTGTTCGAGCATAGTTAGCGGTTAGTCGAGAGACGAGGCTGCGCGATGTGCGTTTATACACGCGGCGATACCAGATTCTAAAAGTACACGACAACTATGCGCCGGAGTATCGACGATACGAAGCTTGTCATCGACTTGTTCGCGCACACTTGAGAAGTTCCCACGATGTTCTTCCACGAGCAGTCACTCCCAAACAAAACGCCGCGCAACGTTACCGCCTTGCCTGTGTAACCGAGGTCGCGCATAGCTCATAGCGATGTACGCGATTTCCCATGGAATATTATCAGCTATCGAAAGGTGTTCGATCTTCCGCTTCAATTTACGGAACCGCGACTTCTGTTCCGTTAATCATGCGCAAAACTTACGTCGCGACGTATACGTTGTACTTTTCGTGAAATTCGGAATTTCGCGATAATCTCCGAAAGGCGCTACCAAGATAAAGGTACCCTCCCTCAATGACCGAGTCACCGGAAGGAAATAACTATAGCGAAGTATTTATGTAACATGTAAAGTTAGAAACACTAATGATTAAACAAACCACATCTTAAAACAAACAAGGTTGAGAGAATTGTTTAATATTTAAATACTAATTATTTCTCACTATTATTTACGTAACAATTAAGTTCTCCGAGACATTTGTATTCACGAACAAGTTTTCACACACAAGAGAGAGAGAGAGAGAAAGTTTGTAATCAACTTAACATGAGAATTGTAATTAATTCATTTTGCAGGAAAGGCTTCTGCTCAGCGTGCTGCCCAGACACGTGGCCATGGAAATGAAAGCCGACATAGCTGGGAAACCGAAGGACACGATGTTCCACAAGATCTACATTCAAAGACACGAAAACGTCAGGTCAGTTGTTTGATCTCGTTGATACAAAAAAAAAACAAAAAAAAAAAAAAACGGTAATTTAAGACGCGCACGTCTTGAAGAAAAAGTTCAAGTGCCACTTCGGGAAAAAATGTCGCTTTGACATTCCGCAAACGAGATTCAGATTCGCTTTGTGTGCGCGCGCCGTTACTGTAGAAGAAAACATTTCTCAACTGTATCGTATTGCGTTTCTCTTTACAAGTTGTCTTCTCGTACATGTATGTACATACATACGCATACATCTACTGTTTTCCCGAGAAAATCACACGCGCACAACACGCGAGATATATTTTTTATTTTGCAATTTCTTGCATAGATTTTTTTCCTATTTCTTACGAAGAGAGAATTTTCTCTCGCATTTTTCTCTCTGCAACTCTTATTTCTCTTTTCGCCGTTTAAAAAACAGACGTACCGCGTACTTGATAATAACGCCATTACTCCCACACACACACACACAACGTCCATTAGACGTCTACTAGACGTCCGTAACTTCATGTGACGTTTAATGAACATCTAACGGAGGTTTGTACAGAACGTTGTTACCTGCGGATAATGTAATAAACTATAAATCAGAGATTGCGCGCTCGCGTAATATCACGATGTTATAATATTACTATGTAATTATCGGGACGTTATCGCGCGCGACACGATGCGATAACCGTAATCATTGATTTATACGTAAACAGACAGACGTGTTATTTCCGCGCCGGGAAATCATTCAAAACTGACAATTTATAGTGGTGTCGCGCACATTCGATGTAAATACACACACACACACACACACACGCACACACACATTAAATACACAACTACGCAGAGAGAATTCTAGATTTGAAGCGAGAGGGTTGTGTGAGACTTAACATCGAAACTCTCATATCTGGAAGTCTCGCTCACCGCGAGTTCGGGTCAATTTAACTTAACCAGCAAATTCAAATTCAAATGCAAAGTGCAAATGTCACGTTCATTAAACTTTAATGAGTTCCCGTGAAGTTGTCACGATATTTTTCGTTTCTCCAATTTCTCCTTTCCGTTCGCACCTTCATTTTTCTCTTGTAATTCGTTTAAAAGCGAGATATATATATATATATTTGTTAAGTCAAATAGAAAATTTAAACGTGTTTTATGTTTTAAAAGTAAATTAATTGTTTCGAATCCACATCTCGCTGACTTGAATTCAACTTATGTTTCAGCATTCTGTTCGCCGATATTTGCGGATTTACCTCGCTCTCCGATCAATGCACCGCCGAAGAACTCGTCAGATTGCTCAACGAACTGTTTGCACGGTAAGATAGCTTTTGGCCATGATCAATGGGTTGGCGAGAAGATGATCGTGCGTTACTCTTTGCCGGTAAATGCCGTTTCGATCGCGGAAGACGTCGGGAAATGCGATTTAACGCGATGGAGATGGGTGCGGGTCTTCGAGAAACGATTCCCTGAGTCTTTTTGTTTTTTTTTTTGTCGCGATTACATATACGAGATTTTCTCTCTCGTAAGTTGGAAAAGCGCGACCGCAATAATAGCGCCCCGTCTATAGAGCGGCATTTCCAGTTATTTGGCCAAATCGAGACGCCAATTTCTTTCCGCTTTCTTTTCTCTCTCTCTCTCTCTCTCTTTCTCTCTCCGTCCGGAGAGTGCAATTCTCCGCAATATCGATCTCTCGGGTCTCGTAAACATTCTTGTTCCGCCCGCTTCGCAGAATCCTCTTTATATATCCATGGATACGTAAATCCTCTCTCTTGCAGTCTCTCGCAGACAGATTGCGCCGCTTTGGTCGAATATCACTTTGACTTCGATACGCGCGCACGTTTGTGTAACTTCTTCGAGCGCATGTGCGCACACATACGTGTTTCTATTCCGATATGAGTCTGTACAATGGAGATCAAGCAATTGGTTTACATGCGGCGAGCCAAAAAAATGTTTTTCTCTGACTCAAAGAGAAGAGACTCGGTCGTGGTTTTCCTTTATCACGTGAACAAGTTTTTCGACGACAAACTTCGTGCGATCGATCCGAAACGACGCGACAGTAACTGTCGTCGAAAGTAGCTTGTCAACGACAATGTGATACTACCGTCGCTATCTATATAGCGTTTCGAATACTTGTCAATTGTTGTGTGACAATCTTCGATTTTCACAAAATTTACAATAAAATTATTCAACTGTTTTACATTCTATTTACGTTATTAATATTCGCACGATTTATCTAGTAATAAATTATAATTAATTATCGCATATGTAACCAATTCTCTTCGTTTGCGTTCTATGAACATTCCAATTTTGTATTAGCACATTATTCGGAACATTAAAATAATATCCCGAATATATATACATATTGTTTTTGTATTGAGTTTCAGCTCTGTATGCATTTCCAAAACTATCGTCCCTCGTCTATCTCGCTTTCATTTACCGCGAACGCGCCCAGTTATCTCCAGTTCAAGAGTTTCTTCCTTAGCGCGCGGATTTCGGAAACTTCTTCCCCTGGAACCGAAATTGTATGAGCGCTCGAGAAGATAGTGTAACTCGGGATAACTCGGGATTTCGCATCCTCTGACGATGACATCTCGGGTCAATAGGGATACACTTATCCTTTATAAAGATAAACTTGCCAAAAGCCGTCATAAAGACGGCTCTCACACATCGACAGTGTCTGTGTTGACTTCGTGCGTCGGTCACACGCGGAATCGTTTTCCAGAATTTTGCGAGTGCAACGTTTTTCCTCCCTTACGAAAGAAAAGAGAGACGCCGCGATGAAAAAAATTAACGCTCGAGAGAAAGAGAGACGATAAAAAATATATACATATATAAATGCTTTTACAGCCGACGAAGTATAAATTTTCATACTCATTTTTATACTCGTTTTTTTTTTCGATTTCAGTGTTATTAAAGAATTATAAATGATTAAAAAAAATTGATTACACTGAATTAAAGTTGTTAAAATATTCTACGATTGAGAGAGCGTTCGTATTCATAGAATTCTATTTTCACACAGAGCGAGGTATAAAAACACTTGCCGAACTCTAATTATTATTTTTACGCGAACAACAAGATGTTTTTTTAAACTATAGTTGCACAGCGATTAAATGACGAGTGTGTTGCAGTTGCACAGCGATTAAATGACGAGTGTGTTGCTTAACTAAATATCGAACTCGCGCGTGCAAAGTGTATTACCGGTTTATCTGCTCGTGACTTGCAATTAGCGATAATAATACCGGCTAATAATTTAATTACCACTTCGGGTTCGCGCGCGCATATGCGACTTCGCGGAAAATCGCGTTGTGTGTGTGTGTGGGTGTGTGTTTACATGTATCGCGGCAACCGTGTTTATAATATAATACACGTTATACGCGGAATTTGCTCGCGCGTGAAATATTAATATCAAGCTCTTCTGGTGACGCCCCCTCCCTGAAAATTAATACCGTATATAACGTATAATACACGTTGCTTTCGCGACAACGTTGCTGAATAATATAATCCGAATAAACCGATTACCACTCAGTTTGTTAGTGCCTTTATTTCACGGCGAGGCGCGCCATTTCTCTGTTGTCTTGAATTAATTTAACGCGCGCGAGTATCTCGTATTTACCTTACATAATCCTCTCCAATCACCCCTTTAACCTTGGAACACACTCCAAGTCACCGGCGGTGGCGGCGGCGGCGGCGGCGGCGGTTAATATCAACGTTAGGAAACCGCGCGGTGTATTATAACGGAATAATTTTGAAAAGTTAAGCAATTAAAACTTTAGGTTTGAAAATTGTTACATCGAAGAGAGAAGGAGAGAGAGAGAAAAAAAAGAACGCGCAACGATAAACGGCGGAAGTTGCGTAAAAATATTGCGCACATAACATTGTGCGCGGGAAAAAATATTACGACGGTTATGTAAAAAAGCGCGGAATTGCGCGGGGAGAGAAAAATATTGAGATTATTTTCATATGTTCGCGCGCGCTATTGTGAAACTGGCACCTGCCTCGCGGTTTTGCCGCGTAAAAGCCGAAGAATTGCGTAATATTTTTTTTCAAAGAAACGTTCACTTTCATCTTTCTCTCTCTTTCTATCGTGAAAATTGGTAGTTTCACGTAACCATCCAAGCCAGAAACAAAGTCGGATCAAAGTTTTTTGATTTGTTTCCATCTCGGTATGTATGTCGTTACGTTTGAGATAAATCGTTTGCATCGTTGCAGATTCGACAGGCTGGCCGCCGAGCATCATTGCCTCAGGATAAAGCTCCTCGGAGACTGTTATTATTGCGTTTCCGGACTTCCGGAGCCGCGGCCCGATCACGCTCATTGCTGCGTGGAGATGGGATTGGACATGATCGACGCAATAACGTAAGTTATTTTCCTCATGCGAGAATGGTATTTATATTTTTGTCTCGCGATTGTTTTGTTTGTATTACGCGTCTTGACAACGCGTAATAAGACATATCCCGCAAGTTCTCTCGATCCGCAACTTCCGAAGAGTAAAGAAAAATTTTATTACGTTTTGAAACATCTTGAATATAAGAAATAGAAATTGTGAGTGCAAATAATAAATTGACAACCAACGATCCGATTATTGGCGCGTATAAAACGCGACTATCGGCGCGTTTTACACGTTAATCGCAGTGTGGATGGTAAACAGCATGTAGAGTGTAATATCTAAAAATTTTTGGAAATTGGGAATTGCCGGCAATAATATCCCTTGTATATATTTTTTTTTTGACAGTATATATTCGTATTTCGCTGCGCTTATTTATTATTTACATTCGATTTTAGTATTTTTTTAATATAGAGAATTTCTATTTTGATGTTACACGTAAATAGTTCGGATGACGGATATCTGAAATGCACGATGTATCAAAATAAATCGATTGCAACGTCCCAACGTTGTTGTTGAAAGAGTATCTCGCCTTTCTTATTGTCAGTCGAAACAAAAGAAGCGCACGAAATCTTATTTTCGAGATTGTATATATATATATACACAATTGAAAATAAGATTTATATGTATATATGTATAAAAGTCTTAAAAGTCGTCGGGGCACTGGGATCAAAGTAACATGTGAGCAATAAAGAGAAGCTTTCCGCTTCGGCAACTTCCGACTCGGATATCGGTCGCATGTTCCAGTTTCGGTGATGCGGTTTCGTTTGGCATTTTTCATAAAACGCGCGTTTTTCCACGGCCAAAGAGAAGATTTCCTCGGAGAGAGTCCGCGATGTATACGTGCCCCGCAATTGAGGTCGATACATGAGTCTCGCCAATGAATAGACGTCTACGGAAAGAGACGGGAAGGAAGAGAGGAGTCATCGCGGAGATCCCACGTGGGGATAAATCGTGGATAAATTCTTCGCGATTTGTGTGTGTGTGTGTTCAACATTCCGTTTCTTAATTTCACGTTGACCGTTCGCGAATTGTTCGCTTCGTTCAAGTTCGACGAAGAAATTAATATAGTCGCACGTTATCGTATTTGTTTCGCGCCTACGCTAACACACGGGGGAAACAAATAAATTTCCGCGATTCTTGTACATCTCCGCAGACTTGTGCGCGAGGTAATGGCCGTGAATGTGAACATGAGAGTGGGCATCCACACGGGCCGGGTTCACTGCGGGGTGCTCGGTCTGAGGAAATGGCAGTTCGATGTTTGGAGCAACGACGTGACTCTGGCCAATTACATGGAAAGCGGAGGGATACCCGGGTGAGTACGAGCAATTTCGTTTCGGGGGGGAAGGTTTGTGTCAACCCTCAATTGGAGTTGACACAAACTTTTTCTCCCTCTTTTCGGAGTTAACTACAAATGACAATCATCAAATTACGGATCCATCCGTGGATATTATTTCTACGCAAACTTCGTCAGAAAATAGAAAATAAACAGGACATCGGAAAATCATTGAGAAAATTTTCTTTCTCCTCTCCCCTTTGTTGGATGACGCTCTTCTTAATTCCGAGCGAAATTGTGATCTGTTTTTTTTTTCTTTGTTTTTTTTAGATATTTTAGAGTTATTACAAGCTGTCTGAAACAGCTGTCTATTTAATAGAGATTTGAGATATTTTGCTATAAAATGTGGATGGAGGGTACATATCCGTTGACATTTCTAATACAAATATTTAGGTGGTTGGATTGGATAGATCTACATTAATTTTGTTAACATTATTGATACACCGTGTATACTTGTGTGGTTGGTAGTAGATTAAATGTGCGATGAAAAAGTAGCTTCTATAATAGCGAATTAATAAAATATTTCGATTCTTTTAAGTTTTTGATCATCATCAGTGAAGACTTTATGATGATAAAATTAAAAGGATCGAAAATGAATGTTCCGATTGGTAATAGTTTATTTAAATATTTCTTTTTACCCGCCACGTTCTCGCACCAGTGATCTTGCGTTCCTTCTAAAATTTTCTTTATTTCAAAATATACAAATGTATATTTTTTAGACGTGTGCACATCACGAAGGAGACTTTAGATTGTCTGAACGGATATTACGAGGTGGAGGAGGGCCGGGGAGACGAAAGAAATGCTTACCTGAGAGATCACAATATCAGTACCTATTTAATTGTCCCGGGAGATACATTCAAGGATAACATAACTAGTTCCGGGATGCGGAAGAACTTTCCGGCGAACGGCAACGTATCTAAAGAGATGAGGGTTATGGGTCACGGCTCGCAACATGGCAAACAGACCAAGTGAGTTCTTGACGTTTAAATAATTCAGTTCTTAACGTTGGAGCGTGACACAACGTAGCATAGCTATATTGAGACGTAAAACGTAACGTTGTAATATTTGAATAATTTGCGAAAGATTGTCGCAAGTTACGACAGACTGGCGAAATGTCGCGCGTAATTTTAAATTGTGTTTACATATTATCTAATAATTATTTTTTTTAATTAAATGGCACAGATGTTCGACTATTAATAAAAAAAGACACTTAATAAAAAAAAAAAAAAAAATTGTGTATAAAAACACGCGATTAATTTGTGAACAATTTTTTTATATATTATCTTTATATTTATACCTAATTCGTTATCCGCCCTTACGCGCGGGCGGAAAGTTTATATATTGATTTTGTCACAAACGGTATTTTGTTATTTTATCGCCCCAACAGATTAGGTTTCAACGAAATCCCGGAGGGTGAGAAGGATCCCGAAGACGAGGTGAACGAGTATCTGATGAGAGCGATCGATGCCAGAAGCATCGATCAGTGCAGAGCGGAACATTGCACGCCTTTTATATTGAAGTTTCGCAGACCGGATGTCGAGGAAAAGGTATATATATATATATGTCGGTTTTGTTTCGCGATCGCATTATTGTTATTTCGAAGCGGAAATAAAGCGCGCAAAAAGAACAAAAATCACGAAGCGGCAAAATCCGTGCGGCAAAACTCGTTTGTCGAAACAGACAAAATAATCTCTTTTTTCTGACTTTGCCTGTGTAGCATTAATTAAATTTCCAGTTCAAGTGCGGAGAACGCGAGCGGTAATTTTCGGAGTCAAACTATCTGCACACAATTAAACACGACCGATTGACGCGATAATTCACATTAATAGAATACCGTGTAAATTGCATTTTATGGTTAATTCGCTTAACGCGGGTGTTCGGATTCCGCGTAGTTTAATCGCGCGCCCGTCCGTTCGCGTCGTGTAATCAATCTCACGGAAAATTCCACGCAACTATCGCGAGAGAGAGAGAGAGAGAGCACGGGAGAAAGAAAATTCGTCGGGAGTAATCGGACTGGAGAAATTAAAATCAAATTAATTCGCGGTGAATTCAAATATGTATACATTTGCGGAAACAATGCGATATCTATTTCCAATTGTTTCGATATAAACCTGTTGCAGTACTCGCGCGAGAGGGACAGGATGCTCTCGGCTTATTTCGTCTGCTCCGGTTTCGTCTACATGATCGTTGTGGTCGCGATAGCCATCACGCTGGCCGGGTAAATATTAACAAACTCTGTGCATATTATTCTGTATTTCTATATATATATATATATATATACAGTGTGCTTTTATTTGAACTCAATTTGTTCCTCAAAGTAAACTCGCGGCAAATCAAAACTGAAAGCGTCTTCTTTTTGCAGGGACGTGTACTTTTACGTGTGCACGGTAATTAGCATACTGGTGATAGCCTCGGTCAACGGAATCTTGTTAGCGGAGAAGAACGAGGTGAGATCTCTCTATCCGCGCGAAATTTTTCCGCTTCTCAACGAACGTATAAATTTTATGATCGCAAACGGGGGGGCTATTTTTTGTTTTTAGTATTCAACTATACGAGAGAAATAACAAAACGCACAGTAGATAGGAGAACCCGAAATGCTGAATGTACATACGTGCGAGAGATAGTTCAAAGTGTATTTTAAAGTGTGTTAAATTAATACACATTTCAAATTCAATTCAATTTGAGAGATTCGCATTTCAGATTAAATTCAATTCTGTACCGGATGCTTGATTTTCTCGCGCGTACATGGAAATAACTCGCTTTATTCTCCCGTGTGAATTTTTCGAAATTATTGCGAAAAAAAACTCCTCAGCTCACGGAGTCCCGGACTTCCCGCGTTCCGCGCGATCTCGTCTATCAATTTTTCATAATCGTCGCGACGGAACAACAATTTAAAAGTAAAAATTGCTTCCGTTGGAATCGAAAATTCAGATAAGTCAGTTACTCTCTTCCCCGATTTCGAATTCGATCGGACCATTTTTGTTTTTCTCGGGAAACTTTACTCGCGCAATTGATTCTTTTAATTTGCGCGTGTTCGGTAAAAAAACGATTCGCGCGACGCATTTGAGTAAATCGCGCGCGATACATCACGTATGGTCACAGTGTGTCGGGCCGCGATAACGAAACCGCCTCTGGAAGAAAAGTGTTCCGCTTCCTCTCTCGACCTTGATCATGCGGCAGACACTTCCAGGTCACCGGGACAAAACCCCCTTCTCCCCCGGATTATCGATCGCCCGGCGCGCTCGCATTGATCTCTCAACGATTCTCCGAAATCACTACGTTTTCCCTCCCTTCCCTCCGGTTTTTATCGGATTTAATTAATCGAAGAGGGATGTGCGCGGATAATCGCGCATGGTCTTTTTTCAGAGAGTACCGCAGTGGGTGAGAAACGCGGCTCTGCAGATCTTCGAGAATCGCATTGTCGCGCAGAGCATCGCGACCATCGTCGTGTTCCTGACGTTCATCACGGTATTGTCGCCGCTGGTAAGTGATCGATACGCCGCCTAATTCGTATCGAGAACATGTTACACACACGCGCGCGCGCGTGATACCGATAACGTGTTCGTTTCGCGCGAACGCGCTTCTAAGTGTGAGTCAAGAAAACTCTCTGTTGGATATAATAAACTTCGTTATTTCCAAGACAATGTGTTTGTGCACGATTTCTGGAATGAAAAAAAAAAAAAAAAAAACAAGACATCGGACGTACAAAATGAGCTGACCTACTTGTTGGTAATTTTTCGATTTCCCTTGTTTTAATCCGATAACCGATTTCGCGCGTACATACACGTAACATGTACACACAGACGCAAAAACTCGAAAAACGCTGAAATTATAACGCGCGACGCGAATTAGAAGTCTTTCCGGCGTCGGTGGTAAGAATATCAATGCGCATCGACATGTACATACGGCGATTAATCATAAAATCGCGAATTAACGGCGACGGGAATTGGAGATCGAAAACGAAAAAAAAAAAAAGAAAGAAAAAAAACGAAACGTCGATACGTATATATATTGCCTGTGATCTCGCGCGTTTACCACCGGCGACCGATCACGCGGTAAAACAACGGCGGTGAATAACGGCTATTTCGTTTTTGTTGCTTTCTCTCCCCGCAGATCGCACTGAAGGGAAGTGACGCCTGCAATAACACGGCCGCGGAGTGGCTGGACGAGAAATCCAACGTAAAAAGAATATTGACGATGGATATCGATACACCTTCGGAACCCTGTTACTATATTCTTTTCTGCGACGTAAGTTGAATGTAAATGCGACACATCGAATGGAAAAGCCAAGCTGTTTGTAAATCAAATAAGCTCTCTCTTTGTCGTGATGATACACGCGCGCGAAGGCGCTTTAGAAAATGTATCGGATGAGTGTCGTGTTGCCAAAACCAAATAAATAAATAAACTGTTTTCAGCGGTGGTTGTAAAATTTTGGAAATTGACGAAAAATTGTTCTTGTTTTCGAATTAAATTAATTTAAATAGAGGGAGAACGATATTCTGGTCTTGTCAACCATCAGTGTGGATTAGATAGTATAAATTACACGTGGGAAACGTAACTCTCTCAAAAATATGATTAATCAAGAAACAAACTTCTGGGATAAGATCCAAAATCGAAATAAATATTTCAAGCTATGATAAATGTGTTTTTCGATGTGTTTCGTATAGACTAGACCGAGAAGATGATCAAAAATAAATGATCGAAAAAATTTCGATGGAATTCTTTTTTTTTTTTCAATATTTCTCGATACCGATGGATTACAGTTTGCGAGGTATTTATTTTAATTTTTGATCACTCGAATATTGTGAAAAATGAAACTGGTTTTGTGTGACACACCTCTCGTACGCTTGTTTTTCTCGTGTGAAACTAAAACCGCGATCAAACCAAACACACACCGCTTGATGATTACAGTTGTTTCCGGTTCTGGTGATGCTGGTTATGGTGACCTGCGCGGTGTACCAGATTCTGACATCGGTCTTTAAAGTAGCCGTATTGAGCATCGTTGTGGCGTGTTATCTCGGGGTCAGCATTAACCAGGCGCTAAATGAGGGCAACGTCGAGTACGCTGAAAGATGGTTGGCGGGCGTTCTGGTGGTTTTCTTCATGGCCTGCCTAGTTGCGCACTCGCAGCACACAGAGACGACCTACAGGTACGGACATTTCGAACGAACTTATACATATCGCACCGCTATAACAATCCCGAACAATTGCGTCTTCAACGCGTATATATCTCAAGAAGAACGTTACAAGCCTTCGGGCAGTGGTGAAATTTACCGCGCAAATATTGCTTTATATCGAATTCCAGCGGAATTTCCTTGTCTCGACTTCAGTTTCTATAAAGTGATTTCACAATCAAGCCAGAGGAAGCATTGTTACACGCGGAGATTCAATTTGTCCGTGGAATGTTTCGTGAAATGCGCTTGTTTAGATACGATAATCGTAAAAACATTTTTAAACCTACGGACGGATGGTCGTATTCTAAAGGATATAATGATAATACGAGGCGATAATACACGAGCTTCTATATAACGACGAATATTATATATGTGTGTGTTCTGTGTTTGTTACGTCAATGCAGATTAGATTTCCTGTGGAAGCTGCAAGCGACCGAGGAGAAGGAGGAAATAGAACACTTGAAGGCCTACAATCAGAAACTGCTCGCGAATATACTTCCGGAGCACGTGGCCGCCCATTTTCTGTCCACCGTCAATTCAGATGTAAGCTCCGTATCCAAGTTTCGAAAAAACTTGTTTAACAATTTTTTTTTTTTTTTATTTATTTATTTATTTATTGTGTTTTCGCACCTCGTGAAATTGAGCGACAACCGACAACGGTTGTTGAAACTTGTGTTTTTTTTTTCCCCTTTTTTTTTTTTTTTTTTTTTTTTTTATTTCAAGTTGAGTATAAAGATGAGATGTGTGCAGAGTTCACGCGAAGATCTCACGGACGCTCTTTGTATTCGACCTGATTACTAGGCGATTCTTTTGTGCCGCATACATGACAAGTAGCGAGCTCGAAGTACAATGGATTGTGGAAAGACAAGAATATATTCTCACAAGAATATTCACAATGCATTCCGACACTTCTTAACAAGGTTAAGGCGATTATAGATTAAACAGCGACTTACGGCTGAAAGATGAATGACGTGTATATATATATATATATATAAAACTGAGTCCTGCACCCACATATTTTGAACGTCAGTTTAATGAAGTTAACTGGCTTTTCAATCTTGCGAAGAGAATTTCTCCCGTCGCGAAAGCAATTCATAAACGTTCTCGTATCTCTCTTTTGGCATGTTCTTCTCCCACTCTTCTATTTATACTGCAAAAGAAGATATTTTCCAAACAGTTTCGCATTACAGTTACTAAACTATGCGCGAGGATTTCTCAGAGACAATATTTACGCGATTCACTGTCAGAATTTCTATCCGGATGTATAATCGGGAAATACTTGGCGAGGAACGTGTTAAATTCTTGTACCGCCGCTGAATATCTCTCAACGCTCGTTCGTTCAGTTGACTAATTTATCAAGTGTACGGAAGCGAGTTGATTTAATGAATTGGACTCGCGTCACGTGTCACATTTAAACGCGATTAATTACAGTGAGGTTTGAGAAAAAAAAATTAATAAAAGACAACATTTTATATAAAAAGTATTTTATACCGTTTCGTTTACGTAGGTTTTATTTGTTTGTATAAAAAATACAAATTTTATTTACAATTGCGCGTATAAAATTGACGTTAAAACAAAGACATTATACATTTGAAATTAATAATTTTTCACGAAAAATTTATTTGCGCGCATGTGAAGAAAGAGACGCGAATATTTCAAGCGAGGCGACGACGCACGTGCGTTGACTGTTTGTTTCGCAGGAATTATATCACGAACAATGCGACTTCGTCTGCATTATGTTCGCTTCGATCCCGAACTTTTCCGAATTCTACGTGGAGCTCGAGGCCAATAACGAGGGAGTGGAATGTCTCAGGCTGCTAAACGAGATAATCGCTGATTTCGACGAGCTACTCGCCGAGGAACAATTCAAGTACATCGAAAAGATCAAGAGTACCGGCGCCACGTATATGGCCGCTTCGGGTAAGTCCCCTACGTTGTACCAACGTTTACGCTCGAGTTAAAAGCCTTTGCCTCGTTCCTGAATATATATTCGTTTTGGAGAAACAGCGTTGCGAGCAAAATTAATTGCTAGATCGAAATTAATAGAATTACATTAGTTTAGTAATTAAATAGCAATTAACTTAGCAATCAATTATCTGGAATGGTTAAACGCAGTTCGTAGTAGTAGCAAAGTTATAGAAACAGTTTTTTTTTTTTAATAAAAACTATTTTTTGTGCTGTCTTGTTAATAACTAAATAATCAATATTTATTTATTTATCGTTATATTGAATGGATTCACCAATTAAAAATTTCTTAATTAAATTCTGACATAATTCTTGTAATTGTGCAAATATGATTTTCTACACATTTCCGAATGTTTCCGTTCTAAATAATTTTCTAACGACTGTTTGTGATAAAATGTGTGAAAAGGAGAGAGATAGAGTGACGATGAGACGGGAAAAGCGGCGATTCGCTAATGAAATTGTAAAGGACACTAATACCGGTCGTGCCACATTCACTCTTCTGTCTCTCTGTTTTCAGGCTTAACGAAAAGTACTTGCGACATGCGGGATTTCAAGCACGTAGTCGCCATGGCGGATTACGCTTTGAGGATCCGCGAGCAGCTGGCCTACGTCAACGAGCATAGTTTCAACAACTTCCGTATGCGTGTGGGCATCAACATTGGACCGGTAAATGTCGACGCAATTTTCCACATGTTAAAGATAAGAGAACTTTATTTTTGTGTGTGCGCAAAATAAAATATTTTTTTAAAAATACTTCTAAGAAAAATGTTTCTCTTACAAAACAGTAAAATATATTATACATGCAATCATGTTTTTAATAACGCACACATTACGTTATTGTTCTGCTTATATTATATTTCACAGTGCAAATGGATTTTCTCTCCCTTCTCGGAAATGAAAAAATTATATATTTCACATTATTAATTTTTCTCGTGGTATTTTCTTCGAAGATGACTCATTTGTTTTTGCCAGTCTAGGCTCAATTTTGCTTGCAAAATATTCTCGTCGTTGAGCGTCTCTTGAATTTATTTTCTACACACGTACACACGCAGCTGCGCGATTAAAAAACAGACACGGTAAAAAGCCGTGGAGAGAGAGATCGCCGAACTTTTAACGTGCGACGCACGGATTGTGCAGGTGGTCGCCGGCGTGATCGGCGCCAGGAAGCCGCAGTATGACATCTGGGGCAATGCCGTAAACGTGGCCTCCAGGATGGATTCGACGGGCGTGCTGGACGGGATTCAGGTGACCCAGGAGGTGCGCGATATACTGGCCGCGAAAGGATATCCGCTCACCTGTCGGGGAACGATTCAGGTCAAAGGCAAAGGCAGTATGGTAACTTACTTCCTGGATGGTCCGCGTAACAGCGCGAAGACAGCCAGTCAAACAACGGACACCGTTGGGACGAATTCCAACAACAACACCGACACGGATCAGAGAACAATCGTCAACAACAGCAACGGAATTGTCTAATTTGGTATTTGCTTACAATTGAAACGTTGATGAACGAAGTTGGGGAAAACGATTTTATCTCTTGCGTTCTATACAGAACAAGAGATATCTCGCGTTCTATATAAACGCGAAACGTATGTATGTAATTATACGTTTACGAAAGAGATAAAATTAAACAGTCGCGTTTTTGGCAAACATTTCAAACTACATATAACAGCGTAGGTACGTGTATAAAAAGCGAATCAATTATAAAACGCGCGCGCGAACACATCGTGCTTTACTACACAACGGTCGGTCACAGACTAATCAACGACTGCAAATTCAGCAATTAACGATTTAACGCGCGAGTGTGAACACGATTCGCGTGTATAAAATTCGCGATTCTTCTAATACGCGAATGTAATTAAAGATTCAATTAACGAACGTAGCGTACCGTGGAAAATTGAGCCTCCTCTCGCCAAGAACAACATTAATTTCAGATCGCATTATGTAAATATTTGAAGTACTTTAACAGTTCTTGCGTGTCTGTGTGTGTGTGCGTGTGTGAGAGAGAGTGAAAGAGAGGCTTTTTTGCATGTGGACGTGTTATTTTATATAATTAATAAATGAATAATGTTAACAGAAAGAGAGAGAGAGAGAAAGAGAGAGAAGTGTGTATAGAAACGGTTGTCGAGCGACAATATTTTTTACGGAAAAAGAATTGTCGCTACGTCGGACCGTAACGATCGGTCATTTTTTATTTCTGTACTCTCGAGTCTCCGAAATGTGGCCAATCGCGTTACGGAGTTGAGTCGAGTGCTCGTCGTTCGTTGCAAAACGTTGTCAATCGATCTCTCGTGAATAGTCGCGTTAGTTCTTAAGTTTCAAGGCGAGCGAAGTATAATCGACACTCTGCGTGAAACTCCGACATTCTGGTGGATGATTTCGTGTAAATTTCTCGCTTGATCACATGCCAACTCTCAAATTAGAAAGCTAAAAACACGCGCGCAGCCTTGAGGATCAATCCATCAAAGAGTTCAAATTGACAAGTCGCTCTGCAAACTTGCAAAACTCGTTCCTCTTTTTTTTTTGTGCGAACGAACATACTCTTTGTGCGATTACGGAAACACGAAACAAACAAAAAAAAAAGCACGTTGGGAGCAAGAGTTGCATCACTTGACAGAGATAAACTAAAACTAAGCGATCATTAAATAATGAGATAAGAAAGACGCGCGCGCGTGTAACTTTTCTACCACAAAATGCCGGACTTTGGTGATGAAAACATACCCGGGAGCGACAACGCTCCTCGTACTGTACTTAAGTTGTGAACAATGTATGTCGCGTACTTTGAACAATGCCTACACACGTTGCATGTGATCGTTTTGTAATATTCGGTTCTGCTCTTGAACGCTACATGTGTGAACATTTAATTAATAACGAGAGAGATATGCCATTGTCTTTTTATTGACATTTTTCTGAGACGGAAGAAGCGCGATCGTGTAGATTTAAGTGTTCGAAACAGTTATTAATATTATTTTGTCGTCTGTAACGTGTCCAACAAACAGGGCCTTTCTGCATAATTCTAGTCAATATGAGAAGAGCTTTTCATGAGTAAATAAATAGTCGGAGAGAGAAAGAGAGAGAAACAAAAACCAAATATAAAAAAAAAAAAAAGAAGATTAAATCTGATACAACGAAACCGTGGACGAACGAATCTTATACAAGTATACAAGTATAGTATCTTGTAAACCGTGTGTTTTAACAAGAAGGGGACCACCAAGCAAGCTAATTGTAGCTGTCTTTGTGAAGAACGTGAAAAAGTTCGTTTCATTTTATATATCCATCTCCGTTTTTCGTGATTATTAATAGATAATATGTTATTAATAGATTAATATATGTAGATATGTAGCATAAGTATGAAAAGAAGAGAAATTTATAATTTCCCAATTTAAAGAAATTTAAGAATTCGCCAAAGAATTATCTGTTGTATGACAGATGTGAGAAAAAATTGTTATATATATATCTTTTACATTCAGTGCTACAACAAATAATTTATTATATTACTAATTACACTGAAATTATAAATTCGTTTGTGTTCTGAAATGAAGAAACGGCCCGTTGTGCTCGTCCGCAGCTAGAATTCACCATCCTAATTTCCAAAATTTCGGAAGGATCTCTGTGTATAGAAAGAAAAGAGGAAAAAGCAAAATTGCATAATTAAAACTACAGCAGATGTAGAGAGAGAAAACATTGGACGAACGATGTTCTACACTAGTTAAATTCCCGGTGAGAATTTAATGAAATTATATACGCGATGTGTTTACACACACACACACACACACACACGCGCGCACAACGTAGCGTGTCGACTAATGAATAATATTCAAAATAATAGATATATTGAAAACAAAAATTAAATCTTTAGTGTAATAAAAATAAATAAATGTACGTGTGCTATTTAAAAAGTAAATAAAGTTTTATTGGATTTGTGTCGATGTTTCAAGTACGTTAGAAAAGAAAGATCGTTGAGTGTGTCTAGTCATCTCCGTGCAAAAAAAATAAACAAGAGATTGTTTTTTTTTTTTTTTTTAAATTAAATTCACGAAAATATCGAAATTGTATATCGCGATTTTCGATGAATAATTGCATATGTTGTGTAGAAACCGATCGTCCGACGAAACAGAAAATAAAAAAAAAACTGTGAACTGAACATTTAATTCCTGCAGCATTTAATGTCGAGTAGTAGACTATAGCAACATTCTCGCGGCATGAATATATGTAAATATGCGTATACTTGAGAAGCTTGTGTATAAAAAAAAAAAAAGATAACTCCGTTTGCGTGCTGCGTGTATGACCGTGTGTGTGATAAGTGGCCAAAAAGTGTGAGTATGCGTATACAGAGTATATATAAACACAGATGTTAATTATATTGATGTATAACTATTGACTCGATCCTATCGATCAAACTATACATATCGATCTTCTCTGTATGTGATTCTTCCTAAACGACGACTAAAGACAAAACTATATATTTGTTATAGAAAAAGAACAGTAGAGAGCACGTGTATAAGAAGTATTTTGACAAGTAGAATCGATCAAAAATTTACAAAGATATGATAGAACAACTAAATATGTCGCATGCAATTAAATGTAATTTGATGAAAATGAGACGCGTTGTCTGTGAAAAATATAGTACGCGTTTAAAAAATTGAGTTAGAAAAACGCTGATTTTTCGCATTCCTATCAAAAACACGCGTGTTACGAAAGAATTCAACTTTTTTGACGTCTTGGTGTATCGGACTAATTATCGCTATCTCTCGCGTGTCATACGTCCAATAATTATTACAGCCTATTAGCGTAAAACAAAAAAAAAGTTAATCGCGTCCAAACAAAATTGGCGATAGCCACTGACACTCTGAAATGAAAAAATTAACACGATACGCTTTATACGTTAGTAATATTGCGACAAAAGATTCAAACCAAAATATTTTGCAAATGTGAAGTTTGATGTGATAACAAAAAAAACACCTAATTTTTTTTCATGTTTTACTTGAAATATATGTAAAACTCGGAGCAATTGTTGAGATGTCATGTACGAAGGAAAAAATGGCTCGTACAAAAGTGTTCGGAGTTACAACAAAAAATTACTATTTTAGAAAATGTCTTGAGAATTTGGCGTGTATTGCGTAATAATCGATAATTGTTAATATAATCGAGATGATTTTGTTTTCTTCGATCGCACACAGCGTCTTTCCTCTCAGATTTTTACACATCTTGCCTATGAAAAAAAAAAAAAAAAAAAACGCAGAAAAACTTAGTCTAACGACATCGAAAAAGTGTGTGTTGTCGCGCGCTGGTCTTATAATAGTTAATAATTTAAACGATACCGATTGTATGTACACTACGGAGGAAAGGCTGCTGGTTACAATCGAAGAAATACTCATAGACATGAGATAGAAAAAAAAAAAAAGAAACAGCGTACTATTTGTTATTGCTCCAAAAAAATCATATTGATATAAACTTTGATGGCCTAAAAGATCAATTTTTTCTGAAAAAAATGTGCATCTATAAATATTATATCCATAATTGTGCGCGTACACACATAACATACTGATAATACTATAACATAAATTTTTAATAAAAGCGAGTCCAATCGCAGTGTATCCAATGACTAGAATTTTAATCTAAATTCCCTTTCTCTTTTAATTTTGTGCGATTTTTAGAATAGTTTGTTAAAAAAATTAATGTTAAGATATTGAAAATAAATCGGAGAGAGAGAGAGAGAGAGACATAAGAAATAAAATAAACTAACTATACACAGTGCTCACAGATTTAATACATGAGATAATGGATTTTATGATTTTTGAAGATGGTAGTATTTTGTACAGAGTTACGTATAGATCATATTAACAAACAATTAGAGTATTCACACTATTCAATCTTGAATATAATTTACGTCATTTAATAATGCATTTTAAACAATTTATTAATTCAGTGATGATAAAAATAATCAAGTAATCTAGTGATGACTGTGAAATTGTTGAAAAGTAAAGTTCACAATACACAATGCTTTCGTGTTGGATCGCATCGCAAAAAACAGCATCGTGTGTCGCAGACTTAAATTTAAGTTTTAATAACACTATGTCTTATCACTTGGTATAAAAAATGGATATTCGTACGAGGCTAGCGGAACACAAGCAATCTCTTTTTTAATATGTGTATACGTATATATATAATATATATTATATATAATTTTATATATATATAGATATATATATATATATATAAATTATTAATATATGTNTATGTATATATCATTATACAATATATTGTTACATATATTAATATATATATATATATATTGTAATATATATATATATAAATCGTATTTTTTTACAGTAATTTTGTAACAGTTAAGACTGGGCCTCGGCAGTGTTTGTATCATTGGAATCGTTTTCAGTATCGTCCACTTCCAAGATTCTAGGACCGTATAAAAGAACGTACGCGCAATGCCAATCGCCTCCGCCACTGAGTTTTAAAATTTCCTCGCTCGTTACGGCCGTAACGACATCATCGTCGCACTTCATCCACGTGTCGTTCTTTTGCCTAATCCAAGCTACATAGTGACCGCTGCTGCTGGAGCGGCCTCTGTGCGTCAGAACTGCTTGCAATTTATAATAACCGCTGTTATTCGATCCGAGATCTGCAACATAGTTTAACATACATCTTATTAAACATGTCAAATTTTTAAATAAGATATACTTGTCAAATAACATCTTATTTTGCTACCATGTTTAAACCAATACGGTTCCTGTTTCTTTTTCTTTGTAATTTCTTTATCTTTAGTCTTTGCATTACAAGATTCTTCTACCAGACTATCTTCGTATTGTTTAAATCTTTCACGCATTGGTGTGAGTTTACTTTGAAGTTCGGATGAGCATAACTCGTAAGCATCAAAATCTAAGGTAAACTTCACATCTTTCAAGATTTTTGCATTAATTGCCTCTTTCTCCTTATAATAAAATCGCACAAACTGTATGGTTAAATATGCAGGTAACCTGGTTATTTTCACCTGAAAAAAATTGTACATAATTCTTCTGTTTTTTTCCTCTCTTTAATTTTAATATACTTTAGCATACGAAAAAAAGTTTAATACAAGCTACTTTTTACATATATCAGGTTTACGTGGTATATATTTTTTTTTTATAGTTACATATATAAAATTTAAAAGTTTATTACCGTTTTTGAATAAACAGCGTTTTCTCCAAGCTTTGGTGACATTTTTACAATCTGCTCTTGCATTTTGCTCATAAGCCCGTAATAAAGATATTTCACATCTTGCGAAATGAAACAACTTAGTTGTAAAAATTCTTCTTTTGCAAAAGTGGCTGGTTCATCGGTATCGTCGCATTTTAACTGAACTTCATACATGCCTCCAAAATATTGTTCGATAAATGATCGTGGTTTAAAGCTGTCATCTTCTAACGCGTAAGGGTTGTCCTATTATATAAATTATTGTTTTCAGTAATGATTTTATTGTTCTATATAAATTATATATACATGGCTATATAAGCGATACAAAAAAAGTGCATATGTAGCTTAAAAATTTATTAATACCATGTGCACGTATTTTCTTACCTTCGGAGGTAATTTTTGTTGTAGCATTCTGATCAACTCCGTCCAACATTCATTCGCATCTTGTTGTTGAAAAACACCTTGTTCAGTCTTTTCAGCAAATCTAGGGAATGCAAGATGTAGCATTTGTACTAAAACAAGGGGCGCTTTTGATGTTCCTTTGTCCATATTGTCATACAAGTCCCTTAATGCCGCTGTTATACTTTGAGCGGGTATGAATGAATGATCAGGAGATGTAGATTCTAACCAACCACCTTGAAAAACTTTCAAAGCTTCTCGTAACTCTGGTACAGTTTTCAAACATTGTACTGTTGCATTTAAATAGCATGTATTCCCAAGGTTATGTAATCCAGCTGGAAGATCTAAAGCTGTTGCCAATTCAGCCTCATTCATGTCTTCCATAAATAATGGCTTTTCTATCGGTTCTACAGGCACATCCTCTTCTTTAGAACCCATCATAAGTACTGTAACACCCTGTGGATGACGATGCCACAATCAACATTAATTATAGCTCTTGTAAATATTGTAGCAAAGAAAGATTTGCTACAATAGTTGTACTTTTACATATGCTTACATCTTTAAGTTTTACATTGCCCCAATCATCATCCTTAAGTGTCATTCCCTTGACCATAACTTTTTGCCTTTCTGGTTGGACCCCAGTAAGAGCAAAAAGCTGTGCTTTAAATAGTATTGGTTCCTCTTCTGTATTGACTTCAACATTTGAAAAGAGTTCTTTACCCCATTTAACTTTAACTAAAAGAAAATTAGCAATTTGCATTAAAATGTTGAGAACAAAAAATTTTGAACTCTTTACATCTACATATACACTTTTACAGGTCAAAGTGGATCAAACACTACATTAAATCTTAGAATCTAAACTTCTATTTAGATGTATCGAATTACAATTCTCTAAAATTTTAGAATTTAATTAATTTCCTCACATTAGAGCATATATTTTGTATGGCTAAGAGAGTGTATATCATCTATTTTGCTTTAGATTCGATCTTGAAGATGTGATCCACCGTTATTTGTGGTCCAACGAGTCAATAACAGTGGCTTTGAGGTCAAATTTGAATTTTTTTTTTTTATTTTGAAGGCCTGCATTGTTTTATATTAATTTTACACGCTGACCTTAAACAAAATGCGTTTAGAACAAGTTACACCACTCTTTCAATTTATATTCTTAGAAATTTAAATGCACAAAAATATTTCTTTCATGAAATCATGAATTAATCTTAGCCCACAAATAACGATTTGAACCACGACTTAGAGGTCGAATTTGAAGTTTGAATTTTATTTATATTTTCAAGACCTGTTTTGTTTTATATCTATTTTTGCAGTGTTTTGTATTTAAAAAATACATTGTAGACAATGAAGCAAGTTTTATTTGCATTTTTCAACAGGTTTTAAACTCCAGTGTAAACTTTTTAGTTCGATTAGACAACATATCAATTTCGATACTGTGTTGTTACTGTTTAGCCCTTTTGTTGAAGCTGTTTAGCACAAACTAGAGTATTTAGGTTAGATCTTACAATAGATAGTAACCTACCTGTATACTGAGACATATTTATTCTTGCAATCTACGGCTTCAATAATACGTTGCGCTTATAAAATATCCAGTTAAGAAAGCTTTTGAACAATATTACCTGTAAGTAATTATAAAGTGCTACGTCAGGTTCTCTCTGTACGAAACTTTGTCATGCGTGCTACATAGATGGATATATAGCCAGCTGATTAAGATAATCTTAAAGCCCGTTCTACATTGATCGCAAGTGCAAACGCAAGTTATAGATCTCGTAGAATTGACCAATCACGCTAATCAATTGGCTGATTTGATCAATACGATTAGTCAATTCTACCAGACCTGTTCCTTGAGTTTGCGCTTGCGATCAATGTAGAACAGGCTTTAAATACAAGATCCGACTATGAATACCGGCCTCAGTTTTGTTTTTCTTAAAATATGTAAAGGCCATTGCATGTGGCAAAAATTTAGACGTAGTTGTAAGGTCGTAAGCAAATCGACCAATCGCTAGTCAGTATTCCAGCTAACGTAAGATAATACTGGTCTGTAATTGGTTGAACTGCTTACGACCTTACGGTTAGGCTGGATCCTCATGCAGACACCGAGCGTTGATTGGTGAAAAGCGGATGGTGAGGGTAAATTAAGGTTGCCATTTACCCTCATCATTCGCTTTTCATCAATCAACGCTCGGTGTCAAAGCGCCGGTGTCTGCAAGAGGATCTAGCTTTAGGATTAAAATTTTTTCACGTGCAATGGCCCTAAGTGTTTTACACAGGCGACTCGCCTGTTAGGTTAGGTTAGGAAAACTGGTGTAAACACATGCAGATCGAATCGCGAGTACTGTCAAAAATAAAATGTCATACAGTAGATCTTGGAAATACGGTATTCCATTTATGATTTTTATTCTTGGTGGTTCATACGCTCTCCGAGAATTTACAGAGTTACGGTAATTGACTCAAATGATATTTAAAATGCAGAGAATAGTTAGTATTTATATTACAAATGTTTTAAATTTTGCGATGTTGACCTTGTTAAACAATTTTTGTTTCAGTTATACATATAGAAAAGTAAGTGGATATAACATACGCGGTGAATTAGAAAAAGAAGGAATTCAAATGAGATTACCGGAAGAAATTACATTGGAGAAAGAATATGAAAAACTAGAAAAGGTAGGTACTAAAATATATGAGTGAAGATTGTGATATAAAATATTTTACAAAAAGTAATACAAATCAGTCAAACTATGCTGAAGAATAATTTGATTCGTTACTAGGTTTAAGATGATGAACATTTCTTTAATATTTGTGCAAATTATAGATTTCAAGAGCATGGATTATATTTGTTATATATTCTTATATATAATAATATTTATATGATATTTCTGTTCATATGATTATTACATAAGATTTTTCTTTATTTTTTCTTAGATGGATGTGGATAACTGGGAAAACATTCGAATATCAAGACCATGGGATGAAACAGAACAAGCAAAACTCTAAGTGCGACGTTTTGTATAATTAGTAGATATGTGTGATGTATATATCAATCATCTTTTTTAAGAATAAATGTCATTGTAATATTACTTTAATTATACGTTGTAAACAAATGGTTTTTTACATACAGCCATTTTCAGAGAAAAAAGGAATTATATATAATATAATAAAATTTATATATTATTTTTTTAATTATGTTATATATATGTAAAAATGTATATATACACATATTGTATATATAAGATTTATGAGATGTATACAACATGAATATGATGAGTGTTTATTTCATATTTTACCTAATTCTAATGTGGATTCGCGGACAAAAACTTGAGACTTAACTTAAAATTCAAATCTTCAAACATGACGATCACGCACGCGGACGGCGGTCTCGCTTGTGTGCGTGTTCCCAGTGGCTCCCACCACCTCAATGCTAGCCGGCTCGATCTTTTATCACCGGCACGGTCTCGATTAGCACAGTGATACGGAGAATCTAGACAAATTCTATTTACCATTTGTTGTTAATATAGTCTAAACTCTTTTATGCGCATGCTTCTTTTCGTTTTTGCTGTTCAATTTGATGTCCTGTTCAAATTTCAATCTGTTATTAGCAGTTCAGGCGTTAATACGTTTCTCAACATGTATCTTCATATACATGTTGTACGACGTCTCTAAGAACAGCATATTTCTGTAAGTTATATACTTCTTTTAAAATGTGTATTTTCAAAAAAATAATCGATTATATAATCTTTGCGACCTATTTTTTACATTGTTTGTAGAATTTTGATATTGAAAAAGACCTAAACCGAAGGTCGAAACGTTTGTCACATTTATATATACATCATTGAATAAAAACATCCTACACATATCTTTGCACAAGATCCGTGTTTCTTGCTTTAACTGCCCGGTAAAAAAATTTTTTTTTTTATATATACTTTATACACAAATTAAAATAATTATATCTAATTATGCAAATTTATATGCTGAATATGTCCATACAATTTTATACAAGAAGAATGTTTTTTTTAAGAGAATGGCTTCAGAGATATTCCATATCAAATTACAAAATAACTCTATTAGTATCATGTTAGATACAAAAAATTATATAAAACTATTTTTACTATATTTTTAAAAAAGTTTTGATATATAATCATATATACTTATACACAAATTAAAATTATTATATCTAATTATGCAAATTTATATACCGAATATGTCCATACAATTTGATACATGAAAAATTTTTTACCGGGTGCCTTCTCATCTTGAAATTTATTAATTAATTACTCAATAAATATTATTATTAACGAATTTTGCAATAGCTTTACGACCTAGATTGACTTAATCTAATCATTCACATTTCGGCTGCCAAAATTCTTTGGACATTTTATATAAGATAATTTGAGCATTTGATCTTTGATCTTTGTATATAAAAGTTATCAAATATTTTACATATGTATTATAATTCTACGTACATATCATGAGATAAAAGACGAGAGCAATATTTTGGCTGATTGTGCAATTTCCTTATTTTGATCTCTGATGGTTACACGTATCTAATCTATGCTATATAACTTGAACTTTGTTCCTTTTTAAACATTATGTACCTTTTATATGTACAATATTTAGTTGTCTCCTGCGTTAACCAGTTTTGACCAGTACTACAAGTAACTAACGCAATATCCATATTTAAGTAACTTTTTTGAATTAATAAAGCAGATACTAGACCGGCATCCGCTAAAAATATTGTAAAGTGAGCTTGTATGATATTTAATTTTTACTATTACAATTTTTGAAAACAAAATAATATATAATTTTACTTTCTTTTTTAAAAAACTCGAATCGGAAAATGTCTCTTATTTTTTTCTTGTTATCAAAATTATTATTATTCTTAAATATATTTTAAAGAAAAAGTATTACATTTACAGAACATCAAGATCGAGAACTTAAGAAAAAAAAAATTTACCGTAGTTGGAAAGATCCGAGAGCGAAAACAAATAGAAACTAATACGAAATTTGAAAGTACATCAAACATACTTGACAGTATTTTATATTACAAAACATGATCATAACAATAATATTATTAGTAATTGTTTTTACATTAATATATGATTTTTATTTACATCATACAAAAAATGGGCGACTTATCGATCTTATACCAGGTTTACCTGGTCTTCCAGTTGTCGGCTCGGCACTTATGGTTCAAGGTTCACAAGGCAAGTACTCTGTGCGTAATATTTTATGCTTTCGCGAATGTGTTAACATTCGGAGATGTTTTTTGGGTTTGAACCGCTGATACTGTATCGACCTGCTCTTGAAACTCTGATGAAGTGTGCTGAAATGTTCATGAAACGTCGGCATAAAAATGACCCTAACGTGTTCAAACTCGAAAAATATTTTAGAATATAACGTGCTTCTTTTTAAACACTTTGTTAAAAAAAAAAAACCAAAATAATCAAAAACGTTACACGTTACACATTTACCACAATATAATTATTACAATTTTCAGAAGATGTATGGAATCTGATACGTTTTTACACCGAAATTAAATATCCCATTTTTAAAATTTGGATGGGTCCGGTGGCTGCTGTATCCATTCGTCATCCAGACGATCTAGAGGTACTAAAAAAGTGTAACAAAAATATTTTATATTTATCCGCAAACGTACACTGACAATCTATAGTATTTGAGAAATTGCTGTTATTATTTATTGTTTAAAAGACAAACTTTTATTCACAAAATTGAGGATAAAATTATATATATGAAATGAGTTATTTTATCAAATGATTATCTGTGTTGAAATTAAATATCAGAAACACTTGACATTTTCACCGTTGTTTCTCTTACAATTTCAGAAAGTCTTGAACACTACAAAACATATCACAAAAAGTAAAATATACGACTTTTTACGTCTGTGGCTCAACGACGGTCTTCTTACGAGCACAGGTAATATAACGACACGTAATGTAATTATAGGTTTTAGTAAATTTGTAATCAGTAGTATATTTTCTTGCGTTAGCAAATCAACAACAAATTACTGCGTATAAACTCGGTAAAAAATTTGTCATATATACTTATACACAAATTAAAATAATTATATCTAATTATGAAAATGTATATACCAAATATGTCCATACAATTTTATACATGAAAAATTTTTTACCGGGATCATTTGCAACTATCTATATAATGTACATAGTATAAGAAGAACATAAAAATTGTAAACGGCCTTGAAATGTTTCAACGGTATATACATTAAAAACATAGTAGCCATGTAATAAATGACGGATTAGGAGAGAAACACATCTAAATTTGTGTGATACTGCGTAGTATATCACTCAATTACTTAAAACTTGTTTTGAAAGATCTTATATAAGCATCGTATGTTTACGCTTATTTGTTAGTACATATTAGTTATTCCATGATGATCACAAATGTTTTATTAGTTATTCTATGATGACCACGAATGTTTTTTTAGTTAAATTACATAAAACATAACTTTGATTTTATATATATTTGATTTTATATATGTGTATACATATATGTGGATTTCTTTTTTTCAGGCAGCAAATGGCACAATCGACGAAAATTACTAACGCCTGCATTTCATTTCACAATATTGAGACAATTTCTTGACATTTTAATTGAGGAAAGCGACCGCATGATAAAATCTCTAAAAGACAATGAAGAACCAGTTATAAAAGATTTAGTCCCATTTCTTAGCAAACATACACTAAACGCAATATGCGGTAATGTATGATCTTTTCTGCTATTTCTATGTAAAAGCATATCGTCTTACGAACGAATGGAAGTTCAAAGAGATATTGTTATAGCAAATAACATATTGATTTTCCTACTACTAATCATGATAATACATGTGCAAACTGAATAATAATTTTTGCACAATTAAATCCATACTGCCTATATACGTACTGTTTAAAATTATTATAATAATATTTGTGAAAAATATACTCTCTCTTTTTAGAAACTGCCATGGGTATTTCGTTGCACAGTTTAGACACGTTCCAGGAAAAGTATCGAAAATCAATAGAGGACATGGGACATTTTGTTATTCACAGGTAATTTGTGCAAATACTTTTTCGATTACAATATACACACGTACATACATATAACTATTATAAACATAATTTTATGCACTTTAAACTTGTCTTGACAAATTTCTGAATTTATGATTATTTCTCTTAATCATCAAATGTAATAATGAGTTTTTTTTGGACATACTGACATATATACTACTGTCTATCTGATCTGATTACGATGCGCAGAATACAATGTCCTTGGCTGTATTCCGATTTGATCTTCGCATTATCGCCAACTGGTAGAAAACAAGCTAAAACGTTAAAGATATTACATGGATTTACTGAGAAAGTATGTAAAATACTTTTCCTAATTAATTTAAGTTTCTATATGCAAAATTATATATACGTAACAAAACTGAGATGATACTGAAAAAAAGTATTTTTTTCTATTCATATAGGTCATTAGGGAAAGAAAACTTTATCACGAACGTACAGGAGGTCGATATTTAAAAAACATTGAAAATAACATATCGACAGATGACGTAGAAGTGACCGGAAGTATGTAAGACAGTCAAATGACATATAAAATAAAGAAATAAGATCTTTGCGATATTTGAATGAGATGACAACACAACGAATTATCTTCTATTTAGCTATATATATATAAGATTCTAAAAAACAATTTAATTTATAAATGATTAAAAGAACTGAATCATCAAAACGTGTTATAATTATTAATAGTGCTGTTCATTAACTATTACCCAATCGGTGTATTTTTTGTTTGAGTTAGTTCAAAAGAAGCGACTCGCTATGTTGGATCTTCTAATAGCGGCATCTCGAGAAAATCATATAACCGATTTGGATATAAGAGAAGAAGTCGACACTTTTATGTTCGAGGCACGTATGTGTAGTCTGCGCCCAATTTGTTTCTATAGTATTCAAATACATATAATTACTAAGAATCAGATAATGTGTAATTACAGGGTCACGATACTACGGCAATGGGTGTGTGTTTTGCGTTGCTATTATTAGCTGAACACAAGGATATTCAGGTATTTTGTGATAACTAAATAAATTTACGGAAAATATAAAACAAACCTAAATAGATCTTTATATGTTTAGTTGGGATTTCTCTATAAAACTCATTTGCTGTGATATATTTTTTTCTATATTTAATTTGTTTGAAATTAGTCAGAGAACACATCTTTTAAAATAAATACGGATGTTGTCACAAAATTGCAAAACCTTTGTAAAAACAAAATAATCCAGTAAAAATACCTCATCTTCACTAATATATATAGGATCGTGTTAGAACCGAAATTAATGATGTGATGAAAGAGAATAAAGGAGAATTGACTATGGCATCCTTAAACAACCTATCATATTTAGAGAGATGTTTGAAAGAATCGTTGCGATTGTATCCCAGTGTACATTTCATATCCCGCCTTAATTCAGAAGAGATACAATGTCGTACGTATTAGTGATAGAGTATACGGATTTGTAATATGTTATTACTTAAGTCATAGATTACAGTACGTTGCATATCACTGTAATGTGCACACACACATATATATATATATATATTTTTTTTTTTGTTTTGTATAGAGTCGTATACGATTTCAGCTAACACAATTTTGCACCTTAATATCTATGGCGTCCACAGAGATGCTAACTTCTGGCCGAACCCGGACGTATTCGATCCGGATCGATTTTTGCCTGACCAAATGCAAAATCGCCATTCTTATTGCTACCTACCGTTCAGTGCGGGACCACGGAATTGCATAGGTAAATAACGTAATTTGTCTGTTTTTCTGATGAGAAAACAGTTTTTCTAATTTGTTGCGCGTTCGGCAGGTCAACGGTTCGCTATGTACGAAATGAAGGCTATGATCGCATCTCTAATACACCACTTCTACATAGAGCCTGTAGATCTTTTGAAGAATCTAAAAATTAAAGCAGATTTGATACTTCGTCCTGCTCATCCGGTTCATGTAAAATTTGTGCCAATCAAAAAATATCAGGACAATTAAGGTGAGGGAGCAAAAGATTAAACATAAAAAGCACTTGTATCTTGCAAAACAGAATACAACGAAGTACATTCCGTTAAATACAATAACATAACATTTTCAATTACAGATAATTTTCGGAATAAAAGTTTTGCATATATAAATAAACTTGATATATTAGATTATAAAAATTAAGGATTATATAAAATATTTTACTTATAAAATGATTGTTACTTACTAGTGACAATCTCATGTATGATTGCATATATAAATACGCAAAACTGAATATAATATGTATTAATAAACGAAGAACGTTTTATCTTCGATTTCAATGCAATTATGTTCAAAGAGTAAAATCATATATGTCGCGTGCAGAAACACAAGTATTTTGTAAAAATTGTGTGTAATTAAAGTTGTTGAATATGTTTTAAATAAAGTGGTGTAAATAACCTACCTAAAAAACCTTAAAATAAACTTACTGAAATTGACGAAAATGTGTTTACTTAACAGCGTCTCTCTTTCTTTTTTCTTTGATTTTCTGTAGAAAATCACTTTCAATGCTTGCGTATTCCCGTAAAAAAACTACATATTAGTATGTAGTTTTTTTTTACGGGAACATAAGAACATGAAGAGTAATATAGGGATCACAGAAAAGAACACAATAGTTCGAAAAATATTAAATTACGCGCATTGTACTGGTCACTCGAAGATAAACCGCATAAATGTTTCAATAGAAAAAATAAACATATGCGTAGTGTAATCACTCGAAAAGTAAAACTGATAAATGTTCACGGTTAATGTATCAAGGTGAGCAACATCAAGAAAACTATAAATAAACGAGTAACCATTTTATAAAAATATTACAAAAAACTTGATACAAAAATTAATGAAATTCAAATGTATTCAGAATAAAAAGAACACATATATTCTACTATTATAAATGTACACAGCAAGATATTGCGGTGTACTATATACGTAATATAGCAGTTTTTGTTTTTGTGTGTTGATGATTAAGTTATAATAACCAGTTTTCTGGCAAAAAGCTTATTCACTTTAAATTCATATTATTCATGTTTGAATTGAGGAAAAATAAATGGAAGATAAAATATAATTAAAACCTGTGTTTAATGTAACAAGTTACAACTCGTTTTGTAAAAAGAAATTATTTTGTAATCCTACTAGAAAAGGCGTGTGTAAATAATCACAATCGATTGTCCTGATATTGATTGTTGCCACTTTTATCTCGACGCTGCAGCAAGGGAGTCTCCACGAGTATACTTTTCACGCGAAGCTAGGAAACAGGTTTTCCCTGAGGGGGGGCTTCGCTATCAGCTGGTCCATTTTGTTACTTGATGATAATAATTGCTCAACGCGTATACGTTTTACGCGAAGCGAAGTCGATCCACATTCACGATGCCCATCGCTTGTACAATTGCAGTGAGTGTGTTAGATTATTTAAAAACGCGGGAAAGTAGACAAATAAGTTATTACTTTCTCCTGCTTATACGTGTACGATAGCGTATGATATTAACAAAATATTTACTTCTCAAACGTACACGGTGAGAAAAAACGAGATTTTACTTTTGAAATTTCTTTTGTGTGTAGCTTTTTAATAAACAATGAGCGACGGATAAAACTTTGTGGAACGTACTCCAGAGAATAATCATTATAATATATGTAAAAGTCAATCGCGGAGAGGGCTCTCTATTTGGTACATTTATCAAAATAACAATAGCGTGCGCGTAGCACGCGTTTGTGTGTTGTGCTAGTGGATACAAAACCTTCATTTGACTTTTGCACTTGCCGCCACCTGCTAGTTAGCAAGAGAAAAGAGAAAAGAAGAATAGGAAACAAATATATGCCCACACAGAGCAAACACTTTAGTAGAAATCTATTACATATTGCATGGAGCTGTTGACGTCTAAGGAACATCTAATAGAGTTCTTGTGGGGATATATTCGCATTATAATCGCAATTTGCGACAGCAATATCCCTTCCGTTTAATAAATGTGTATTATATACACATATATGTGTATAATATACAAAAATAATAGACATTATATGTGTATAATATAAAAAAGCATATGTGATATGTCTTTACTTACACAACTGGAAAAAATAGTTTAAAAATTGTCATAAAAAATCAGAAAAAATGTTATTTTTTTATCCCGATTATTATTAATTTGTTTGAAGTTAACGGCTATCATTTATATATATATATATATATATAACGCAAACGCGCAAAGGATTTTTTTATTTTGACACATATCTGTTTGTGCGGTACAGATACCACCATGTCTCTGCCATTATAGATAGTATACAATAAAATTCTTTCTCTCTCATATAATCTACAAGATGGCATTATCAGACGTCGTTATTCTTTATTATTTTGCTGACCCTCGATACTTTTTTATATGTATTTAATCTATTTTTAAAATATATTAGTTTTATATAGCGTACAACGATACATACGACGTTATACGATAGCATATAACGTACAACTTTATCACAAAGTAGTATGTTACATATCCAGTGCGTCGAATATAAAACGTGTTTCCTAATTAACTCGTTATCGTGTAAGATATAATTTTATCTCAAATACTTTCTGTTTATATATGAAATGGTTTCTCTTTATTTGGACTTGAATAAAAGGAAAAGAATCAAAAAGAAGAAACGGTATCATTGTTTGTCACGCTCGTGAGCTACGCAGAACTTTTACATCGGAATAGTGAAGAAACTTGAATCCACTTGAAACATTGTTCACTGTATCAACGTGAATCATGATTATTATAACAATATTGTTATTGTTAATTTTGTATATAATAATATATGATTTTTATGTGCATCATAACCGAAGTGGACGATTACTTCGTTTAATACCAGGTGCACCAAGTATTCCGATTCTCGGTTCGGCACTTTTATTTCAATGTTCACAAGGCAAGTATCACTTTCTTTTACACATTACGTTAAAAAAAGAATAACAAAACTATCGAAAACTTTTAGATGTTACACTTTTATTGTGAATATTATTTATATTTAGTACATTTTTTTTAGAAGAGGCATGGCACGTTGTGCGTTATTTCACCGACAAAATATATCCGATTACAAAACTCTGGATTGGTCCTACATGTAATATATATCTTCGTCATCCAGATGATTTGGAGGTATCTTTAAACTAAACTTTATATTTATTTAGATTTACTTTATATCTATTTAGATTTTTACTTTAGATCTAATTATATATATAGATCAATTTTTCAATTTTTTTATCTCGTTAAATTTAAGTTAGATCTAATCCATTGTTTCTCGAGAAGCTAAAATCTCGAGAATAAAAATATACATGAGATACTTTATAAACTGATTAGTTGTGTTAAAATTAGATTAGAAAAACGCGTAATATATTCTCACTGTCTTTCTCTCTCTTACACTTTCAGAAAGTCTTAAGCAGCACGAAACACATCGAGAAAAGTATATTATACGACGCATTACGTCCATGGCTTAAAGACGGTCTTCTCACTAGTAAAGGTAATATAATAACATTATCATAGTTGTGAGTTTTAATATTTTTGTATAATAAATGACATATTATGAATTATTATTTTATTTAATGTAAAACAACCGAATTAATGTAAAACTTTGCAAGTATGTTTATATTATGAATAGTATTCAAAAAACCGTGGTCTAAACATTTTTCGACTAATTAAAACTGTTTTAATATTGAAATAAGAGATTCATTATAAGCATCATATTGCGTTACGCTTACTTTGTAATATGTAACAATTATTATATTATATACAACACACAAAACTTTTTTTTTTACTCAAATGTGTAATAAATTACACAAAACATATCATATCTTTTAACCTGATTGATATGATATTGTTCTTTCTTCAGGGAGCAAATGGCACATTCGCCGTAAACTACTAACGCCTACATTTCATTTTTCTCTACTGCAACAATTTGTAGAAGTTTTGATTGAAGAGGGCAACCACATGACAAACTTTCTAAAAGAAAGTGAAGGAACAGTTATAAAAAATTTAGTCCCATTTCTTAGCGAGCACACACTAAATGCAATATGCGGTAAACTATCATATTTTCTGTCATATCTGTGTGTGTAAGAATATTTACTTTTACGAACGATCATATTCAATACAGAATTTATTATTCGAAGGTAACACATCGGTGTTACTATATTATACATGATGACACAATAAATATGCGATAAAAGAATATATGTAACGTTCGAAATCTCTATGCAAAGTGTTTAATATGATAAAACTGTGCTAAATGTACTTTTAGAAACCGCCATGGGTATTTCTTTGCGCAGTTGTGACACGTTTCAGGAACAGTATCGGAAATCAGTACAGGATATGGGTGACTTTATTGTACACAGGTAATTGATGTATATATATGTATACATATGTATATATATATGTATATATATGTATACATATGTATATATATATATGTATATATATGTATACATATACACACATAAATTTGCACATTTAAAAAAATTTCAAATTCAAAAATTAATCTTGATACTAAATTTCTAAGAGTATTATTCTACACTTATTGCTCTCTATTCTCAACGTGAACAAAAATAATTTTTTTTATTTTACACTCTATATACTAAATTAAAATGCCTATAAATTAACGTGATTATAATGCGCAGATACGTCTGTCCTTGGTTGCACCTTGATTGGATGTTCACATTATCGCCAACAGGTAGAAAACAAGCTAAGACGTTAAAGATATTACATGGTTTTACTGAAAAAGTACGTAAAATGTTTTTGCTGATTACTTTTCTCTTCAATTGCAAAAGTACATATATACTCCAAAAAGTATAAAATTAGGATATTATATTATAAAATATTTTATCTGTTCATGCAGGTCATTAGGGAAAGAAAACTTTATCATGAACGCACAGAGGACCGATATTTAAAAAACATTAAAATTGATTTATCGACAGCCGATGTAGAAGTGATCGGACGTACGTAAACGCACTCAGATGATATTGTTGTTGAAATTTGATATATAATATATAATGTAATATATATAAAATAAGTATAATATATAATGTAATATATAAAATAAGTTTTAGTAATATATTTGAGTAAGAGATATTATAACACAACAAAGCATCTAATAATTCTTCGCTATATTCGGAAAAAAATGGATTAGATCTACTTTAAATTTAACGAAATAAAAAATGGAAAAATAGATTTAATTAAATCTAAATTAAATCTAAATTATATAAAGTAAATCTAAATAGATACAAGAGATAGTTAAATAAATCTATGTAAATTGACACTTTATTTAATCTTAGATCTACTTTACTTACATTTGGTATATTAGATTATTAGATCATCTCAGATCTGCTTAAATCTAAGTAGATCTACAGTAGATCTAATTGTAAGAATATAAAAAGTGTCGAATTACATAGATCTATTTAAATATCTCTTGTATCTATTTAGATCTACTTTATATCTATTTAGATTTAATTTGGATCTAATTAGATTCTTTTTTTAATTTTTTTTATCTCATTAAATTTAAATCAGATCTAATTTATTTTTTCTTGAGTATGTAAGAAGTGTCGTACAAAATTTTATATATTTTTTAACTTAGTTCGTAAAAAGCGACTCGCTATGTTGGATCTTCTAATAGCGGCATCTCGCGAAAATAATATAACCGATTTGGACATCAGAGAGGAAGTCGACACCTTCATGTTCGAGGCATGTATATGTGTAGTATGCGCCTAATTTATTTCTATAGTATTCAGATACATATAATTACTAAAAAATAATGTGTAATTACAGGGTCACGATACTACGGCAATAGGTGTGTGTTTTGCTTTGCTGTTATTAGCTGAGCACAAGGATATTCAGGTATTTCGTGATATATAACTACAAATAAGAAAATTATAAAACAAAATCAATTAATCTTTTTTTTTTATATTTAACACACACAATTAGTTACAGAATATGTTTTTTTTAGAAGTAAATACAGATGATATTCTCATAAAATCTCAAAATCCGTATAAAAAAAAAAAAAAAAAAAAAAAAACATTTTTATAATTAAATCAGCAGAATAACACAATTTTCAATAATATTATAGGATCGTGTCAGAACTGAAGTTGATGATGTGATGAAAGAATATGAAGGAAAATTAACTATGGCGTCCTTACAAAAGCTTCCGTATTTAGAGAGATGCCTGAAAGAATCGCTGAGATTGTATCCCAGTGTTCCCTCAATATCGCGCATTCTTGCAGAAGATATAAAATGTCGTACGTATTAGCGCGTTACAATAAGAATTTTTAATGTGTCATTATCATAGATTATGTTACGTTGTTACATCAGTGAAGTGTACGTAAGTGTATACATGTAAATAATAGTGTTCTCTCTGATAGAGTCGTATATAGTGCCGGCTAATACATCCGTGTTACTTGGCATCTACTCCGTTCATAGAGATCCTCACTTTTGGTCGAATCCGGACGTATTCGATCCGGATCGATTTTTGCCCGATCAAATGCAAAATCGTCATCCTTATTGCTATTTACCGTTTAGCGCAGGACCACGGAATTGCATAGGTAAATAGCGTAATTCGTCTGTTTTTTTTTTTTTTTTTTTTTTTGAGAAAAAACAGTTTTTCTGATTCACTGCGCATTCGGCAGGTCAACGTTTCGGTATGTATGAAATGAAAGCTATGATCGCACCTTTGGTGCATCACTTTTACCTGGAACCTGTTGATTACTTGAGAAATCTTAAGATGAAGATAGATCTGATACTTCGTCCTGCTCATCCGGTTCGTGTAAAATTCGTGCCGATCAAATAATTATCAGGGTAATTACAAGAAGAATAGAGGAGAAATAGCGAAAAGTTATGGAAATGCTTATGTTTTTCGAAATAATATTTTACCGAAGTACATACATTAATGTAGTTACAAAAATTGATATTATTTTTTACAGATCTTTCCTGACAAAAAACGTTCTGCATATATAGACAGTTTTAATATTTATTTACATATGCTCATATACGATATTCAATATAGAATCTTATATATAATTTTATCGAATGCGCAATTGCGTATAAGTATGCATAATCAGATAAAAAAGTTGTCTACAGATACAATGCTTTTTTTCTACAGTTTTCAGACAACAATAGTAAAGAACAAAGTCACGTATGCAAAAGAGCACTTGTACTTTTTATGAAGTGTGGTTTAAGACTTAAAAAATGATTTATATAAAGTGTATTTGTGTGTCTAAAAATAATTAAAATACAATTATTGATATTTGAGAAAATGCATCTTTTTACCCAAATTCACATTCTCTTGATTCTTTGTAATAAAAACATTTTGAACGTCTGCATACACATAGTACGTACTTTTTCATGCCTTGATAGATGAAGGTAAGATATCTTTTATCATATGGAGAATCAGACTTTTTATTAAATGTAGAAAGATCTTTGATGTTTTTAAAGTTGTTTTTAAATTGGAAAAACAAAATTTTAATTACTAAAATAACTAAGAAATAGAGATACATAAAAACCTATTTGCTACATTCAATTTTACAAACAGACTCATAAATGCCTCGGAGTATGTTTTTACCAAGAGCTATTTTCGTTACGCGATAATAGTAATTTACATTGTTAAAGATATTTTTCTTTTTTTTTTTTGTATTTAGTAAGCGATGTATATATACATTTAGTGTCAAAAACACGAAATATGAATGTACAGTGAGTTATTCTGAATTACATTGAGTCAAACAAAAAAGTCACTTATCAATTTATAAAATATTCGCAATATTTATTATTATTTTGGAGTTTGAACTCTGTCGCGCGCATAATTTTTAGATGTAAAATTATCTGATAAAAGTGTATCACAAGTCGCTCGCTTGTTTGCTCCGTCGCTTGATCGTCAAAACATTGCATAAAAGAATTAATTTTTTTTATAAGTAAAAATCATACAGAGACCGAATTGTCGCCCACACGTTTATTGTGTCATTTATTATTTATTTTTTACATTTATGTGTTAATAAATAAACTCAATAAATATTGCGAATTCTGCAAACTAGCAAAATGACTTTTTTGCTGTTCAGATTGATCCAATTTATCAGCATACTTTGACTGTGTCAATTTTTTTCGGACATTTTGTATAGTCCAAGATAAAAGCTAAACGGATATTATCACGGACGTCAGTGCGTCCCTTAATATTCTGCTGACCTCATGTCTGCTTTATATCTAATCTAAATTAAAATTAAAATTAAACATTGGGTCAGTTTTCAAATACACTTTACACATCATGTACAGTCCAGTCGTTCACTATATCGGATCGAAACAGTGATCTTAAACAGTGATCTTATTGACATCACGCAACACGCGTAGTATTTTATTGTACATTGAATATTGCGAGATATTGATATTTGCAGAATATTGAGATCAAGAGAACAAAGATCAAGAGGGCAAAAATCAAGACTTAGAAAAACGTTATCATCGTTCTACGCGCATGATTATCCAGAAGTTTTAAAACAGAACACTGAAGAAACGGATTGAAAAAACTTGAATCCACTTGAAATATTGTTGATACTCCGTATCAACGTGAATCATGATCACAACAATATTGTTATTGGTGATTTTATGTGTGATATTGTATAATTATTATGTACATCGTACACGTAGATTTATCGATCTTATACCAGGTCCACCAACTGTTCCAGTTTTAGGTTCGGCATTTTTATTTCAAGGTTCACAAGGCAGGTATCATACGCTTCTTTTTATATATGTTACGTTTTTAAAAGAATAACCAAAACTTTTTAAATGTTACATTTTCATCAAAATATTTATCTGTATTTCATAAATTTTTCAGAACATGTATGGCAAATTTTTCATTTTTACTCCGACAAACTATATCCCATTATGAAAATCTGGGCAGGTTTTGAAAGTGCTGTAATCATTCGTCATCCAGATGATGTGGAGGTACTAAAATATAAAAAAAAATATACTTCCACGCGCGATTATTCATTGACGGTCTAGTGAATAGAAAATAAGTGCCGCGTTCAACAAAATACTTGATACATAATAAATTTACTGTCGTCTCGTTTCAACACTCGATGTTGATTAATTGATTCTAAAAATCAGAGTCAATCACGTTTTACGACTACAAAGCAACTTGTTTTAGACGCAGCAAATATTTCCATATTCTAAGACACAAACAAGAGTTTTTAAAATTAAAAATATATATATAAAATAAGATAATTTTTAAAACGACTGTCTGTACGTTAACATTAAATATAAGAAACAATTGATATTTTTCATTGCTGTTTCTTTTGCAATTTCAGAAAGTCTTAAGCAGTACAAAACATATCAAAAAAAGTAGAATATACGACTTTTTACGTTTGTGGCTTAACGACGGTCTTCTCGTCAGCACAGGTAATATAATAAAATTAATATACATTTTATTACATTACTTTTATTATTATAAACATCGTTTTCAATAATTTTGTAATTACTGCTATCAAATATAACTAAAACTTAATATAAACGTAATATAAAACATTTGCAACTATTTGCACATTAGATACACAGTATGAGCGAAATATGTACATAGTAAATGATCTGAAAGTTTTCATTGGAATACACATAAAACAATTTAATGCAGCTATAATGCATGACGTAATGTGAAAGAACATGTAGAAATTTGTGTGATTCTTTTTAATATCACTCGACTAATTAAAACTTTTGAAGCTAGACAATAATGGGTCCAACATAAACATCACATCGAGTTACGCTTACTTCGTACATAATAATTATTGTATTATGTACAAAAAAAATTTACTCAGATAAATTGCTCAAATCATAACTTTTAATCTGATATGTCCTTGTTTTCTTAAATTTTCTCTATTAGGAAACAAATGGCACAATCGACGAAAATTACTAACGCCTACATTTCATTTCACAATATTGAGACAATTTATTGACATTATAATAGAGGAAAGCAATTGTATGATAGAGTCTCTAAAAGATAGTGACGAAAAAACAGTTATAAAAAATTTAGTCCCATTTCTTAGCAAACATACGCTAAACGCAATATGCGGTAATGTATGATCTTTTCTGCTATTTCTATGTAAAAGCATATCGTCTTACGAACGAATGAAAGTTCAAAGAGATATTGTTATAGCAAATAACATATTGATTCTACTACTACTAATCATGATAATACATGTGCAAACTGAATAATAATTTTTGCACAATTAAATCCATACTGCCTATATACGTACTGTTTACAATTATTATAATAATATTTGTGAAAAATATACTTTTTAGAATCCGCCATGGGTATTTCGTTGCACAGTTTAAACACGTTCCAGGAAAAGTATCGAAAATCAATAGAGGACATGGGACATTTTGTTATTCACAGGTAATTTGTGCAAATACTTTTTCGATTACAATATACACACGTACATACATATAACTATTATAAATAAAATTTTATGCACTTTAAACTTGATCTTGACAAGTTTCTGAATTTATGATTATTTCTCTTAATCATCAAATGTAATAACGAGTTTTTTTTTGACATACTGACATGTATACTACTGTCTATCTGATTACGATGCGCAGAATACAATGTCCTTGGCTGTATTCCGATTTGATGTTCGCATTATCGCCAACTGGTAGAAAACAAGCTAAAACGTTAAAGATATTACATGGATTTACTGAGAAAGTATGTAAAATATTTTTTCTGAGTACTTTTCTTTTCACCAAACGTACACATATATATACAGAACAAAAAGTGTAGAATTAAAATATTATAAAAAACTATTTTCTTTATTCATCTAGGTCATTATGGAGAGAAAACTTTATCACGAACGCACAGAGGGACGATATTTACAAAACATTGAAAGTGAAAACACATTGACAAAAACAGATAACGTAGAAATGATAGGAAGTACGTAAATAACGCAATAAGATTATGTTGTTGTTAACACTTGATAATGTGATATATAAAATAAACTTTGACGATAGTTGAGTAAGATGATATTAACACAACAGCATCTAATATTTCTTCGCTGTATACATAAGATTCATTTAAATTTTTACTTATACTACATTAACATAAAAAAAGAGTAAGTGAAAAAACCCAAGTTACTGGAAAGTAATTCACATTAAATAGAGATTATATTTGTGTAAGTTGACTACTGATAATCAAAAAACATAAATGATCAAAGCATTTCAAACTTATGAAAATATATTGCCGTTTATTAAATATTATCTATCGATAGTTAATAGCTTTTACGCGATTTACTTTTCTTTGGATTAAAACAATATATATGGTAAATATATATATATATATATATATATATCTTAGAAAAAATGTAAAATCGCCTTGTAAACACTGCGTTTATTTTTTGAATTAGTTCGAAAGAAACGACTCGCTATGTTGGATCTTCTAATAGCGGCATTTCGAAAAAATCAAATAACCGATTTGGACATCAGAGAGGAAGTCGACACCTTTATGTTTGAAGTGCGTTTATGTTTACTAAACATATGTAATTTTACTATATATAGTCTTTAAAGATATACAACAGAATATGTGATAAGAGACACATACATAAATTACCAAGACTTGTACGATTACAGGGTCACGATACTACGGCAATGAGTATGTGCTTTACTTTGCTATTATTAGCTGAGCACAAAGATATTCAGGTAATTTATGATAAAAAACATAAAACTAGAAAAAATATGTAAAAGAACTAATTAAGTCTTTTTTTATTTAGCTAGGATTTCTACAAAACTATTTTCTTAAAATATCTCTTTCTATATAGTTAAATTTACCACAATTAAGAAATTATATGTTTTAAAAATAAAGTACAAATGATATCTCAAACAAACTTCATACAAACGTTTATACTTAAAAGCAGCAAAATAACACAACATTCAATAATATACAGGATCGTGTTAGAACTGAAGTTAATNGTGTGATGGAAGAAAATGAAGAAAAATTGACTATGGCGTCCTTACAAAACCTATCATATTTAGAGAGATGTTTGAAAGAAGCGCTGCGACTGTATCCCAGTGTGCATTTCATATCGCGCGTTATTTCAGAAGATATACAATGTCGTACGTATTAGTGATAGAGTATACGGATTTGTACTATGTTATTACTTAAGTCACATAGATCACGGTACGTAGCATATCACTGTATTGTGCACACGTGTACACAAACATACACATATATATATATATATATATATATATATATATATATAAAATTTTGTCTTATATAGAGTCGTATACGGTTCCAGTTAATACAATTGTGCACGTTAATATCTTTGGCGTCCACAGAGATGCTAACTTCTGGCCGAACCCGGATGTATTCGATCCGGGTCGATTTTTGCCCGATCAACTGGAAAATCGTCATCCTTACTGCTATATACCGTTCAGTGCAGGACCACGGAATTGCATAGGTAAATAGCGTAATTTGTCTGTTTTACTGACAAGAAAACAGTTTTTTTAATTCGTTGCGCGTGCGGCAGGTCAACGGTTCGCTATGTACGAAATGAAGGCTATGGTCGCATCTATAGTACACCACTTCTACTTGGAGCCTGTGGATCCTTTGAAGACTCTACAACTTAAAATGGATTTAATACTTCGTCCTGCTTATCCGGTTCGTGTGAAATTTGTGTCAATCAAATAAATTATATGACAACTAAAAACAAGAATGGTACAACTTAATTATCTAGTTATACACAATTATGTATTAAAAAGTATATGAATAAGTACATAAAAACATTATTATATAGAAAATATATTATTACACATATAGATATTTACGTATACATAATAAGAGTGAAAATTGTCATGTATAAAGACTTTATTTTTCCTGTTTGCTTTAAACTTATTTAGAAGTTGGTTCAACAAATTGTATTTATTTAAGTATAATTAAAACAATTAACATACACTTATTAAAATTGGCATAATTATATGTGTCATTCCGACTTCCTTTTTTTGCGCTAAGTTTTTAGGTAATAATGTTTGCAGCTTGCTCAATTTCCACTCAATATTGAAACACAATGTAAAGAAGACCACGGCACATTGTGACATGCAAATTATAGTATTTAAAATAACAAACTGCACACTATAATATAAAATATTATGAAACATTAAGTATATTACATAATAGTCATCTCTTTTAGCTTTAAGAAAAAAAATATTATTTTCATATATCTTTATACAAACAAAGGGTAATTATGCAGTTATACGGACTATTTTCCGATCTCAACAATTTTGACATATGTTATCAAGGTCACCTCCCTGAATAATAATATGAAGGTTTTATCCGTCGCTCATTGTTTATAAAAAACTTATGAACAAAAAAAGTTTCATGAATAAACTATTGTTTTTCG